ATAGGAATGGTTAACTCAGATGGCATGGGATTTGGGCTGGGAAGTTACTGAGATGGCATAGATGGAATTACCTGTGCAGCCCAAGGTGTTTTAAGGCAATTATAAAATCTAACAGGTGTCTGTGTATTATTGTGATAGTGGGTTAAATAATACCGCCATGATAATTATAGGGCTAATAATAAATGATAAGGCTAGCCTTGAACTCACAGAGATTCACCTTCCTCTGCCTCCTGAGTGCTGGTCTGTTAGTTTTTCAAGTGTCTGAAGTGCCCTGCCAGGCAGTGGCTCTACCAGTGGGCTACATTTCAGCCCCTACTTAGGAGAATTTGCCCAGGGTTTCATTCAGTTGGTAAAAGCCACTTTTCTAACATTACCTAAAAAGGGAGTTAATAGCAGGGTGCAGATACTTAGAGAACCACCAGGAAGACAGGAAGTGGGTCATGGCCAAACTACCATTGCCTCTGCCATCCCCAGGGCGAAGGCTCTGTCACTCAACACCCCCCAAACTGGGGACAAGGGAGTAGATAGCCTGTCTTGTGCCCTCCCATCTACCAGGACTGGCTAGTCAGACTAGTCAGCTGACACACAGGAAGGGGCCTCTGAAGGTCTTACTGGCAGGACCTCCTTTTCATAGCAGCCTGTACTCAGATGCTGAGGGAGGGGGGCTTCTGAGTTGTGGCCAATCCAAGCTACACAGTGAGTTCTGAAAAGGCTGGCCTATGCTGTGTGAGACCCTGTATCAGAAATCCAGGCTAACAAAGGGACTTCATTCACATTCCGGTTAGAGGGGAGTTGGGTATTCCACCGGAAGCTTTTGAGTCTCTTCTAGTGGAGGAGAAAAGAGTGGCACTTGGGGACATCCACGCAAGAACTCCTGGGCCCAGGGGATGGCTGAGGGGATAAATGTACCCACTGCCAAGCCTCGGGACTTTTGAGTTTGCTCCCCAGGACCTACATGGTAGAAGGAGAGAACAAATCCCACATGTTCACACACACACACATGAACACAGAGTAGTGTGTTACAAAATAAGTAGAATCCAGCAGCCCCATTCTGAGACACTGCCTGGTTGAAAAAAATATTTGAATTGGGTCTTGGTTAATGAGGGGAAAGAGAATATAGTTTTTCCAAGCACTTGGAAGGGGTGAAGGCCTGGTCCTCATATGTCTACTGTCATTTCTTTTTTCTTCCACCATAGCAACTGTGTCTTTTTTCTTGGAGAGCCACCCTTCCTATTTTTCAACCACATGCTTCCTGTGATGGTGACAGGGCCCTGTGGCCCAGGCACCTGACGAGGTCTGGCCAGTCATCGCACTTTGCTCTGTTTGTCAGTGATTGGTTCAGGGAGGGGTGTGTGACGCTTCCCAGAAACAGCTCTCTGCCTTTGGGCCTTGGGAGATGGCTCAGCAGTTAAGAGCACTTGCTTCCTTTCCAGAGGACCCAGGTTCAGTTCCCAGCACCCAAGTGGTGGCTCACAGTCACCTGTAACTCCTGCTCTCGGGATTCAGTGCCCTCTCCTGCACACACGGACCCTGCACACATGTGGTGCACTGACATACGTGCAGGCAAAACACCCAGACATCAAATCAAATCAAAAATTAAAATATTTGAAAAGTTACATTCAATTTTACTATGTGTGTGTACACATGTGCCATGATCTGAGGGCAACCTGTACATGAATCAGTTATCTCCATCTACCCTATAGGACCTGAGTTTGGTGACGTGTCCTTACCAGCTGACTGAGCAGAAGTTCATGGTCATCCTCTACTATAGAGTTTCAGACCAGCCTGAGCCGCAGGAGACCATTGTAACAGTGCTGCCTTAGCACCCTAAACAAAATAAGTTTTTGTTTTTTTTTTTGTATTTGTGTGTTTGAACACGTGTGTATGTGCATCTGTGTATATTTGTGGGTATGTGCATGTATGTATGTATGCGTGCGTGCGTGTGCGTGTGTGTGCTGAGCATATGAAGCTAGCTTGCCCTTAAGCTGTTGGGGAATCTTCTATCTTTACCTCCTCCCTTCCCACAGAGCACGGGCATTACAGACACTTGGGCTGTGCATCCAGCTTTTGTGTGGGTTCTGGGGTCAAACACAGATCCTCAGCCTTGTACTGAAGCTCTTTTACCCAAGTGTTGACCCTCCTAGCCTGGTTAGTTTTTGAAACAGGGTCTTGTTGTACATAGCCCTGGCTGGTCTTGAACTTGTGGCAGTGAATGGCCTTGCCTCTGGACTACCTGTGACTCCAGTCCCAGAAGGATCTGACTTCCTCTTCTGGGCCAGAAGGCGCCTGCACTCATGTGCACATACCCCCCCCCCCAACGTACACATAATTAAAATGTGTATAATCCGGACAGTCTGGGCTGTGCTGAGGGAAACAGTGGCTCCTGGACTGGCCTCCACTTCTCAAGTGCAGGCCTTACAGGTTGGTGTCACTCTGAGGGCTTAGCTTGCTCTCAAAGCTGTTGGTTTGAGTGTTAACTCTCCCTTTCACTTTTCTGTTTCATTTCTGTTGAAAGGGAGTGATTGACCACAGCCAACCTCCCAGGTCAGCTAAACTCAACTTCCATGGGCTTCTGGTTGGAGAAACACTCAGTGGCTCCAGGGCCTGGGCGACCTTTGCAAAGGCATTGGTTTTCTCTGCCTGCACAGGTCTGAACTGAGCTAGCCCTGCCCAGAGGTGCTATCTCAGTCCTACATGTTTACGCATTGTGCAATGGCCTCCTCAGGGCAGGCCTGTTCGACATTCGGGAAAGTGGGAAGAAAGCAGGGCACCTTGTTACTTGTGATTTTTCTTTGGGACAGGGTCGCACTTAGTCCAGGCTGTCCCATGGAGTCACTATGTTAAGAATAGGAATGGTACAGAGACCTGTCCTGAATCCTTATGGCCAAACCCCAGCAAGAAGGAACTGGGGGTGCCTCTGCTTTACAGATAGAGAAGTGGAGGCCAGAGAACAAGATGAGAACAAGAGGACAGGAAGCAGTTTGTCAGGATGAAGGAAGAAAAGAAAGAGGCAGTATTCGATGTTTATAGGTTCCTGCTAAGCCTCTGGTCATGGCCTTGTCTTTACTGGGACCAGATGTTTCATCCAGAAAAGCTGCGTTTCATCTCCTTGACACCCATCTTGACTTTCTTTCTTTTCAATTTTTTTTCCATCTTGACTTTCTATGTTTATTTTATTTTTTAAAATCTGTAACATTAATTTTATCTGTTTTGTGTGTGTGTGTGTACTGGTGTGCAAGTCAGCCAAATGTGTCACCCTGATTGGTTCCCTACCCTAAGGGCTCTGAGGCATCTTGCTCACTTACCTTCCTGAAGCACCTGCTCTGGGCCTTCAAGAACTAGCCATCTCTGTTTCCTCTGGTGTCAGGGGCTCTACATAGATCTCTGCTCTTTTGGGTCCTGGGCATTGAGCTATGTGCACAGACACAGCAGAAAAGGAAAAAACAAAACAAACAAACAAACAAACAAAAAACAAAAAACCAACAACAAAAACCCTGTCCCTGTGGAGCTCTGGTCTGGGAAACCCAAGGGATTACATAAACAAAAGCATGGCTTTAGAGATAGGGGAAAGTCAGGGCTTGGAAGAACACGTAACAGTGGAGAACGAGAAATGGGGGTTAGTGGTCAAGGGACTGTCTTGGTGACAGGCCAGTTCTGATTTGAGCCCTTACTTCACAACTTGGATGACTTGCTTCTTTTCCCAGAAACTTCCGTTTTCTCAACTGTGCAACAAGGAACAAAATAAACCAAACCAAACCAAACAAAAAAACAAACAAAAAAGCCACTACCTCAGGACTTAGAGAGGGGCTGTTAATGAATAAGAAGCCCTGTTTCTCATTGTCTTTACACTGACCGTTGTCACCATTGTTCTGTCCTGTAGGATGTGACCTTGTTTGGACCTCTTCTTCCTTCCTGGGATTTTATCCGTGCTGCCCTTGTTTTCCTTGAGGGCAGGTCAAGCCCCTTCTTTCCTCAGGGCTTTTGAATTTTTTATTCCCCTTAGTGGGGCTTTTCTTTTTCCAGCTTCTTCTACAGCTTCTACTCTTTTGTGTTCACGCCACCTATGAAGGGAGGCCTTTTTCCACTAGTGCAGACTGCATCCAAGACATTCTCATTGTTTTCCTATCTCCTATCATCATCTGCTATCGTTGATCTATTTATTTTCTCATCTACATGAATGCAGGTTCTCAGAGGACTTTTTATTTATTTTTGCTCCGTAGAGCATCCCCAGCCCCAGGAACTGTAACTGGCACTTTATCACAAATGGTAACTCGAATGAATGGATGAATGAGGGCTAACACAAGTGCCTCAGCCCCTGCATCCTTGCTCTCGTGCACCTGCGGGCTACTTGGCTATTCACACACTACCGACCACCACCCTTCGGCTCCCGCGTGGGGTCCTCGCGCAGGGAATCAACTCAAACTAGCGAGACGCTTCCTGCCAGCATGGGCGGCGGCCGCTCGAGGATCTTGCGGCTACAGTGCACGCGCGCGATTTCCCCCGCCCCGCCCCCACATTCAAGTCCCGCCCCATAGATGCGCTCCCCGGCCTGCTGGCCCCGCCTCATTGCCTCAGGCCACGCCCTTCTCTCCTCCCCTTCAGGCCTTAGGTCCGGTCTCTGCCGAAACGCTTCTCAAGCTCGCGGCTACGACCTTATTCCTCAGGCCCCGCCCTTATCCCCCTACCCCGCATCACACCTCAGGCCGAGTCCCCGCCGGTATGCCCCTCAAGCTCGAGGCGGCGCCCTTAGCATCAGGCCCCGCCCTCATCCCGCCCCACTTTAGGCCCCGCCCTTCCTCGGCCTGGTACCCCATCTGCTCCTCAGGCTGAAGGCTTTGCCCCGCCCCCAGCATCAGACCCCGCCTCTCACCCCGCCTCTCCAACCAGGCCCCGCCCCTTCCACCCCGCCCCAGCCGCTGCGCTCCTCTAGCCGCCGGCCCCCTCCCGCCTCATGTGGCCCGGCCCGCGGCGGCCGGCGGCTCAAAGCGGCGAGGCGGCGGCGCGCGAAGCCCGGAAGGCGGCGGCCGAGACCCAGGCGGCGGACCGGAGCGGCGGGAGCGGGGCCCGGGTCGGCCCTCGAGCGGCCGCCGGCTCAGCATGCGCGCCCGCCGGGGGCTGCTGCGGCTGCCGCGCCGCTCGCTGCTCGCCGCGCTCTTCTTCTTCTCGCTGTCGTCCTCGCTGCTCTACTTCGTCTATGTGGCGCCCGGCATAGGTAGGAAGGCGACCCCGCGGCCACCCCACGCCCCTTCCCGCCGCGGCCCGCGCCGCCGCCCCGGCCGGCCCCGCGCTCCGTGACTCGCCGTTTCCTGCCGCGCCGCCCCGCAGCCCGCCGTGCCGCACGCGCGGCCTCCTCCCTGACGCAGCCGCCCGCGCCCCCCGCGGTCGCGCGTTGGCTGCCGAGACCCGGCGGGGCTGCGGGCTGCGCGCCCCCCCTCCCCCTCCCCCTCCCCCTCCCCTTCCTCCGCGCCCGCTGCTCGCCCGCGGCTGCTCATAGCGGACCGGACCTGCTCTGGGGACGGATGGGAAGTTTGAATTGGCCCTGGAGGAGGTACCGTGACAGGGGCCTTGGGGAAACGCTGCCAGGTGAAAGGGAGGGGGCGCTCCGACCAGAAACAGAACGGGTAGCAGCTCTTCTCCACCGCCGGCCCCTTCGAGGGGGAGACCGCCTGGAGAGAAGACGAGCCCTATCCGGAACAGACTGGATGCCAGTGAGAAGGCAAAGGCAGCGTGAGGGTTAAAGGCAGAGGACACTGAGGTCAGATGTCCTGGATGACCTTGGGCCCTCAGCTTCTCTCCTCTGTAAAATGGGGCCACGAATCCCAGCCCTTAAAGGATGAAGGGCCACAAATGCCCCTTTAAGCATTTATCGCTATAGCTAGCGGACGCCCAGAATCTAAGAAATACCCCCCCCAAAAAATGCTGTTACAGGTAGTTTGGGGGACAGAAAGGAAGAGGTTTAAGGAATGCGGCTTGCCTGCCTTAGTGTGGTCTTTGGAGTGCTAGAGAAAACTTCAGCCCACGGTGAAAAATGAGAAGATGCTGTTGGGGGTGGGGCCGAGTGCGAGAATTCTGGATGGCTGGGATGGGCGCCGCCGTGGAAAAGTGCCTTTGAAATCGTAGTAGTAAACGCTGCTGTTCCTGGTTGACCTGGCAACTCTCAACGGGCAGAGAAATTTCCAGAGGGAGTGGGAGCTTGTTCCCTGATTATTTTTTTTAAAGCCTGCTTCACTTGATGGTTAAAAGTTGGTGTTTCATACTGTCAGCCAGATCTGGGAAGACAGAAAAGCCAACATGAGATTGTCCTAACTGACTTGGTGAGTGGCATTCCACTAGGGATGTGTAATTATTGTGGCTTGTTAGGCTTGCTAAGTACAAGGGCAGGAATTCTGTCTGAACAAGAATAGATAACTAATTAGTGGAATTAATTGAGAAGAGAGCTCATTAGCGAGTAGGATATTAGATTCTCATAAAATGGGTGTGAAGTGATGGGTTTAAACCTAGAGGCATCTTCCAGTCAGTCAGTCTCAGTCTCTCTTTCTCTTTCTCTTTGTCCGTTTGTAAAAGTGACAGGTGTTTCTGGTCTGGTTTGTGTATCACTGTATCTCCATGGTGATCATCCGTTTTGATGAGAAAGGACAGAGGCCAGACTCTGCAACAGAAATGAAAGTTACTTAAGATTTCTCAAGGGTAGATTTTAGGTCAGTGCCGCCATCATCACAGTTAGAATCCCAAATCCTGTGTCAGTGCAAGGCTCAACACTACTGGTAACTTGAGAGAGCAGATCTGTTGCGATTCAAAGTCTGTTGGTAGAGAACAGGAACAGCAGGGCTGGGGCTGGGTGGTGGAGTGGCAGCTAACTTGGTGTAAGTTCTGGGGTCGATTCCCAGCACTGTAAACAAGGAAAGGCGGTTGGAGAGGAGCAGTGAGAAGGAGGAATCTTAACGGTTCACATAACCACGGTTACGTTTAGCTGTTTGGCTGATTATTTATCTTCCCTTTAAAAAAAAGATTTCTAGTTTATGTGTATGGATGTGGCGCATGCATGCATGTGCTTCTGAAGACCAGAAGAAGACCTGGGATCCTCTGGAGCTGGATTTGCAGATAGTTATGAGCCACTGTGTTGGTGCTAGGAACCAAACCTGGTACCCCAAGAGCAGCAAATGTTCTTTCCTCAGCCATCTCACCAGCATCTTCCCTGCCTTTCTTGTTAATGAGCTTATGTTTTCAAATGTCTGGCTTTCGATTGTGTTTTGGTAAATCTTTCCCAAGGGTTGAGGCAGTCTAGAAAATGTGGGGGGTTATGTGCCTTCGGATATGAAAACCTTATTTGATATGGTTATAAAAATGAGCTAAAGCTGTGCATTGTGGCACAGGCCTCTAATCCCAGCACTTGGGAGGTAGAAGCAAGAGAATCTCAGTGAGTTTGAGGCCAGCCTGGTCTACATAGTGAGTTCCAGGACAGCTAGGAATGTCCTAAAAGTTAGACCTGTCACAAAAAAAACTTAAAATAATAGTAATAATAATAGAAGGTTGGAGAGATGACCCAGCCGTTAACAGCACTTGTTGCTCCAGAGGACCTGTGTTCAATTCTCACAGATGCGAGGCCACTCACAGTCATCTGTAACTCTGATTCTGGAAGATCCATCGCCCTCTTCTGGCCTCTGCATGAGGTTTGCCCATGCATGGTGCACAGACAATCATGTAGGCAAAACACCCATACACTTGCAAAAATTTTATTTTTATTTATTTTTATTGTTTTGAGACACCTTAGTTCATTCTGTACATTTCCAAATAGTGACAGGTCTGTTTCTGGTACAGTGGAAAGTGGTGGCCCTGAATTTCCTCCCAGATGTCCCTTCCACCCTGCGCTCCAGTCCTTATGATCATGTGTTCCGGGGCTGAGAGACGTTGCCACTTCTACAGTATATCCCAAGCAGTTACAGCACTTGCTGCTCTTGCAGAGGACCTGATTTCAACTCACAGCACCCACATTGGGAGGCTCACAACTTCCTGTAACATGCCCTAGGGCAATAGTTCTCAACCTGTGATTTGAGACCTTTTTTTTTTTTTTAAGGGTTGCATATCAGATTTCTTGTATATCAAATCTTTGTATTACAATTCATAATGATAGCAAAATTATAGTTATGAAATAGCAACTAAATAATTTTATGGTTGGATGTCACGAGGAACTGCATTAAAGGGTTGAGGCATTGGGAAGGTTGAGAACTGTTGCTCTAAGCCTTCTTCTGGTCATAGGTTCCTTCCCACGTGTAGCACATGCGTACACACAGAGATATGCAGCCACACATAAATAAAAAGAATACATTATAAATGCTCAGGGCTATAATTGAGCATGAGAGTTCTCATCTAGCATGTGTGAGGCCCAGGCTTCAATCCCCATTTTGGGAGACTGAGCGTTGAAAAAGAAGAGGAAGGCAAGGAAGTACTCTGAGAGCTGCCCCATCTGTGAAGGCCTTCTCCACAGCCTGAGGAATGTTTCTTATCACTTTTACCTGCAGTGTTGACATACCCTCTTCTTTTCTGGAGAAAACTTTGATCTTATTTATGACCCTGGGACTAGAGGAATTTCAGAGCTCAGAGTGCTTATGGCCTGACCAGGTCTTTTAAAGGAGAGTGTACTTGAGCTGGTAATAGGTGCAGGTATAAAGTGCTGATCAGAAAACATCTTAATAACTTTATGGTCCTTTTATTTGCCAAGATGTGTAGAGGCTGCTGACCTCTGTGGATCTTACAACAGGAACTCTTTGAGAGGGGTGCTGCATGTGGTTAAGGCGAACAGTGAGCACTTGACTGAAATTTTACTATCTGAAGTTCTGTTTTTGCCGTTTCAACCAATTTTTCTCTGCCTCTTTGACTGCTGAAGAAAGGAAGTGGGGAATGGTTTTCCCGTTTTGGTCTGCTTAGTCCTGAGGAAAGTTTGATTTGTGGCTAGTGTTTGAAAGACAAGAAAGAAGCAGTTGTTGAAATCCCTCCTGATTTGACCAAATAACTTTGAGTAAGTCATTTGGTTTCCCTCCTTGGGCGTCTGTGTGTGAATTGAGACCTGTTGAGATGGTGTAGTGAGGAGAGCTCCTGACCTGAGTTTGATCCCACGTGGTGCAAGGAGCTCTGACTGGAGTAAATGGAATTAAAGGCCTGTGTGTTAAGAAACAATTACACCTCAATAAAGCTAATGAATGATTTAGTATATGGAATGCTGGTAGTTTGTTGACTGACATTCTAAAGAAATACTGGAGTGAAGAGTATAGAGAAATTACATGTTTTACATAAGTAGAGTTTTTTTTTTTTTGAATGGACAGTGGAAATGTTCAGATTTCCTTCAGTCTCTTAGGGCAGGAAAAGCCTTTTGTTGTTCCTACCATACACTTAACACATGGAGTTTTCCGGAGGAAATACAGATGGGGGGATCTAATTGCTGTGAAAAATTAAACACCTCCTGCTTAGCTTCTCCCTCAGTGCTCCTTTCTACCTCAGGCTCACAGATGTCCTTGTTGTCTTGAGTCAGGCTCTCATGTAGCCCAGGCTGGCCTCAGACCCTCCATGTGGTCAAGGATGAACTGAACTTCTGATCCTTCTTCCTCCACCTCCCAAGTTTGGACAGATGTGTTTAAATAGCACCCTTCCTTTGAGGAACCCGTGGGGCAGGCAGGCTGAACTGCAGAAAGACAGTGTGCCCCTGCTGTCAGGCCTTGAGCCGTGCTTTCCCTCCTCTCTGCAGAGTTCCTGTGTCTGGGAAAGAAGCTCTTAGACCTGCAGTTGAGCTGGTCTTTGGCAATGAGAACAGGTGTGTCTGCCTCTCATCCTAGACTGGTCAGGTCAGAGAGCCAAGGATCATGACAGCCAAGAAGGAGGGGCTTTCTTGCCATGCTCTTCTAGCATTCTTTGGGAGAATGACAACCCAAAGCCACAATGGCCAGGATACTACTGATTCACCTGGTCCCCAAGCTGGGCTTTTGTGACTGTTAAAGGGGAGGGATGAACAGCCATTGGAAAGAAAACAAGTGAGGAACGGAGAGCTGCTGTGGTCTGTCAGGAATAGCGGGAGTAGAGGTGAAGCTGGGTAGATAAGGGCTAATCAGAAGCCAGCAGGGTGGGTGTGGACAGAGAGGAGGGCTCCAGTCATCCCATCAAGAACTTTCGGGGAAGTCATAGTCACTCCTCAGGTCCCAGGACCTGTGTTTGACCTTATTT